CCAGTCCCAGAGAAATAGGTCACCACGGGGAAGCTTCGTTCTGGGAACGGCGGCGTCAGGCGGAGCGGCGGGACGGCATCTCTGACGGGATCCGACCGAGCCACCCGAGCTTCATCCTGCTGGAAGGTCCTGGGATGTCCTCTGGATCACACAGACGCCCTGCCCAGATGAGCTAATGGGTCTGCTCCAGGCTTTCATCCTTGAATCCCAAGACCTTGTGAGATGCTATCTGGGCTGATATTTGATGAGCAAGCGAGTCCTGCTCCATCCCGTGCGGTCACCGCGACTTCAGCCCTTTCCCTTGTGATCTTCCCTCGTGCTCCAATGTTTTTTTTTGGTCATTAGCTCTGGAATTAGCATGTTTAAGCCTCCAAAATTACCATATTTAATGCAGCACCGTGGTTATTCGGGTGCTGTCACAGCAGCTCTGGCTGCGCTGCCTCCCAGCAATTCCTTGGCTGGAACAGGGGTTATCCCTAAATAGCCTCCAAAGGAGGCAGCAGGAAGGTCTTATCCTCCCACCAGCACCCAGAAAACCTTCCTAAGCTTTTTTGTCCCATCCCTGGAAGTTCTCAAGGCTGGGTTGGACAGGGCTCGGAGCAAACTGGTCTAGTGGGAGGAATGAGATGATTTTGAAAGGTTCCCTTCCAACCCCAAACCCTTTTATTCCATAATTTTACCCCGGAGTGAGGTGGAAATGTGGACTGTGACTCATCCCAACATCCACGTGAGGTTTTTTTCCTGCCAAACCTCGGTGTCTCGTGGAAGATGCAGGACAGACATGGAGAAGGACCTTCAGTGCTCCTTCCTCGGCTCCCCGTGGGAGATCAGCCAGGGAATCCCGTGGCATGGAAGGGGGGAAATAAAACCAGGACTGAAGTCGCTCCTGGGAGTGGGATTTTGGAGCTGGGAAAGGCCTGGGAGGGGTGGGAACTCAGCCAGCTGGGAATGAGGACTGACACTTCCTTGGGACACAGGGATAAGGTGACATCTTTTAATGTGCAGGGGGAAAAAAATTACACCCCC